TCGTCCGACAACAACCCGAAGAGCAACGGCGGTGCGGAAAAGAAGAAGGAGCGGCCCGCGGGCCAGTGCTTCCATATTGGAGAGCAGGGGGAGCAAGTAGACGCATCTGCCAAGGTTAGAGCAGAGCTGCACCCCTTGGACTATTGGGTGTTGGACACGGGCGCTGCTTGGACGATGACGCCGCACAAGAATTTGCTGAACCACGTACGCGCTGCACCGATGAACGAGGTGTGCTCCGCCTCTGGACACGCGCTGAAGGTGGCTGGTGCGGGACGAGGTGCGTTTAAGGGAGCGGATGGCAAGCCAGTGGTGCTGCACGATGTTCTCCTTGTTCGTGAACTTACTGCCGACCTCATCTCCCTCCGTATGCTTGGCAAGTCTGGGGTGAGCACTAGCACGGATGGGGCACGCACTTACAAGGGGCAGCTGGGCAATCGGGTAGTTTGGGAACTGCACGAGAGCACAGACGTGTACAGATTCATGTGGCAGCTGCTGGCGTTGGCGTGGCATGGTGGGGGGCAGGCTGGAGAGGGGTCTGCATCCCAGGGGGGGTGCAATGCAGTTGGAGGGGTTGGTGTGAAAGTGTTGGCCAGATCTGGGGAGACGGATTGGGCAACGGCACACCAACGCTTGGGGCATGTGGCAATGCCCTTGTTGAAGCAGTTGGAGAAAGATGGAGCCGTTAAGGGTCTAAAGCTAAACGGGCAGCCACCTTATGAGAATTGTGAAATCTGTTTGCTCTCAAAGTTTACCCGTTTCCCCTTCCATAGTGTGATTGGCAGTAGCAAAAAGCCGTTGGAGTTGGTCTACATGGACTTGGTGGGGCCGCTGCCGGTTCAGGGGCACAAGGGGAAGCGGTACTTTTTGACCATAGTGGATGATTGGAGAAGGCTTATGTGGGCATATCCAATGAAGCAGAATGACCAGGCCGCCTCAACGATACCGGAAGATTGGCTCTCATTCGTGGAGAAGCAAGCGGAGTGTGTGGTGAAGCGGATTAGGACAGATCGGGGTGGTGAGTTCCTTGGAGCTGAGATGACGGCCTGGCTCAAGAAGCAGAGCATCTAGAGGGAGCTGACCACGGCTTACACCCCACAGTCCAACGGTGTAGCAGAACGGGCGAACCGGACAATTCTGGAGACAGCTAGGGCGCTGCTCATAGAATCTGGGCTGGGCAACTCGATGTGGCCCCATGCTGTTCGGCACGCTACCGTCGCTAGGAACATGGTACTAACAAAGGTTGAGGATGACTCGTGGGTGCCGTTGGAGAGGTGGCTTGGGAGGAAGCCGCCGGTGGACATGCTGAGGGTGTTCGGCTGCATGGCCGCCCACATCCCCAAAACCTACCGCAGAAAGTTGGGGGCGAGTGCAATCTGGTGTGTCCATTTGGGGCTGGCTGCTGAGAGCAAGGAATGGGTGCTGTGGGAACCTTCTAAGGGTGTGTTATTTGGCAGCAGGGATGTGAAGTTTGTTGAGGGCATGATGTATGGGAGCTGGGAGAAACAGCCGCAGGCTAGGGTATCCCAGCAGATCAAGAAGATCACCATGCAGCTGGACCTGACTCCTAGTGTGTCCGAGGAGGTAGAGGAGGCAGCTGCAGAGGGTGGTGCTGGAGACAAGGTGCAAGAGGCACCTGCCGGTGAAAACAATGGTCTGGAGAGCAGCAGTAGTGAAAAACTAAGAAGCCGAAGGGTGTCTTTATGAGAGGATGGGAGACACCCGTCTCCAGGCAAAGACATACTCGTATGGCTACTAAGAAGTTGACTGCAGGAGCTAATGTAACAGAGCAGCAGCTTGGGACAGAGGAGGCATTGCTGATTCTACCACATGTCTATGATCCGGATGAGGAGGATGAACCTGCCTACTGTTTTCTTGTCCCTGCACCACAGGAACCAGCTAGCATGGAGGAGGCATTAGTTGGAACAGATAGGGAGAAGTGGCTGGTTTCCAGGGATGCTGAGTACCAGAGTCTTCTAGAGAATGGGACATGGGAGCTGGTGGTGCTGCCTAAGGGGAAGAAAGTTGTACAGTGCAAGTGGGTGCTAAGGATCAAGACCGATGACAAGGGACAGGTCACCATCTTCAAGAGTAGGCTGGTGGCTAAGGAGTTTATGCAGAAGGAGAAGCGGGACTTCAATGAGATCTTTGCTCCCACTACTAAACCCCTTACCCTCCGTGTCTTGTTAGCAGATGCAACCGTTAGTGGGAAATTCATCATTCAGATGGATATATCAACGGTATTCCTCAATGGGATCTTAGAGTAGGATGTATACATCACGCAGCCGCCTGGGTATGAGGATGGTACGGGCAGGGTGTGCAAGCTGAAAAAGTCCATCTACGGCTAGAAGCAGGCACCACGCTGCTGGTACCAGAAGTTGGCAGCTGTTTTAGAGGAGATGGAATTCAGGACCAGCAGCTGTGATGAGAGCCTCTTTCTCAAGGGGGAGGGGGAGAAGCTGGTGCTGTTTCTGGTCTATGTGGACGACATTCTTCTCTTTAGCAGCAGCATGAAAGAGATCCAGAAGGTGCAGCAGCAGCTGATGGAGAACTTCAAGTGCAAGAACCTTGGGGAGGTAAAGTACTACCTCGGGATGCACGTGGAGAGGGATCTGGATCACAGGTGGTTGAAGCTGCACCAGGAGAAGTTTATCAAGGGGCAGGGGGAGAAGTACGGGATTGTGAATGAGCGCAAGGTTGCAACTCCCTTGCCAGCAGAATTCAAGCTTGTGAAAGCTGCAGAGAATGAAGGGGTTGAAGCCAAGGAGCAGCAGCAATTTCAGTCATTGGTGGGCAGCCTCTTGTATGCAGCAGTTCACACGAGGCCCGACATCTCTTTCTCGGTTGGGCAGCTGGCTAGGGTGGTGCAGAATCCATCAGAGGAGCAGGTGGATGCAGCTGAACGTGTGGTGAAGTATCTGAACTCTCACCCAAGCATTGGAGTTCAATACTCCGCATCTGCACAGGTGAAGCAGAAAGGGGTTGAGGTGCTGAAAAAGAACGGGGAGAGGCTTGGAGAAGGCAAGCTCTTTCTCACTTGCTTTACCGATGCTACGTGGGCCTCTGAGAAGGAGGACTCTTCATCCCTGGGAGGATACATCTGCGTAATTGGGGGAGGACCTGTTAGCTGGAGGTCAAAGAAGCAGACGAGACGGCACTCTTTTCTGTGGAATCAGAGTACATGGCGATGTTCCATAGGGTGAAAGAGGTGATTTAGCTGAGGAGGCTGTTAGAGGAGATTGGCCAGGAGCAAAGGGTTCATACGCCGCTGTTTTGTGATAGCGAGAGAGCTCTTGGGATGGCGAGGAACGCTGTGCTTCATGGGCTCAACAAGCACCTGCGTATCAAGTTGTACTGGCTGCGTAAGAAGGTGAAGAGGGGGACGGTGAATCTGATCTACATCAAGACTCACCAGCAGCCAGCAGACTTCCTCACCAAGAGGCTTGCGGATGAGCCTCATTGGTGTTGTGTGCGCATGAGTGTAATGAGCATGACCTAGCATGGAAAGATGGGGATGCAGCCGGCAGGCTGAGGGGGAGTGTGTTGGGTGCAAATTCAGATTGTACGACATCGTGCCGTCTGTTGGTACGAGTATGCGTGTGCGAATGCATTTGGGTGTGAATGGAATATTTGCTTGAAGCATTTGCAGGTACTCGCGCATTGTGTGCTTCAGCACAACATTGTACGCGCTATGAACAGTACAAGCAGAAAGGACGAGCTCGCAAAGGAACCCAAGATGGAAGCTTTGCGGTTCGGTTGAATTGATTGCGCAGATTCAGTTCTATCCAACTCGAAATTGTACTGTTTCGTTTGATTGACTATATTGTAGCAGGGCAGGCACTATAGGGGTACAAATTAGGGGAAGGCTGGATATTGTTTGTCTGTATCTGCATGCTACAGGGAACCAGCATTTGGCTGGTTGGGCAAAGACAAAATAGGTTCTGTTTTTAGGATCTGAACCAGGTTGTTGTTTTCACAAGTCGGAAAAATAGAACCAGACGTTGTTTACCAACGTTCCACCTGCTGTTTTGTCCAGCGAGGTTGGTTTTGTTGCTTGGAATTATTTGGGATCATGCCTGGTTGGTCCCAGGTTTATTCCCAAGGTCATTGCTAGCTAGAATTATTTATGGTCAATTTGATTTGAGCAAATTCCTTCCTTCCTGGAATTTCGTTTCTACGCGGTGCGACGGCGAAATGCTACCCGAGTCAATGCTAGTACGCTAGCACTTCAAGATTAGGCAAACGCTGTCCCAGCCATAACTTTGTAATGGCCGAACTTTTCGTGTGGCAACTTGGTTCATTTTAAAGCTCTTGGAGAGAGCTTCAATATAAAAAATTCGTCGCTTAATCCGATCGACGTTCTGCACGATACGCTGCGCGACGTTCAAGGTACTATTGCTGTTTTGATTAAGGCCCTCTTGATCCCTCTCCCTACAAACTCGGACCCGAGGATAGGGGCTGGTCTTATACCAGGCACCCAAGGACCCTTGGAGGTGACCCCGAAGAGAGGTTTTAAGTTTGATCAAGTCTTAATAGCTGGAGTTTATTAGGCCCTTACACCAACAAGCTGGTATCAGAGCTACGTTATAGTGATCCTCGTTATAGGTAGCTATGGCGGGCAACACCTCCACGGGAACTTGTGAATCTTCAGCCCAAGATCGTAGCGGCAGCCAAGATTCTAGTGTTTCAGCGCCAAGGGGAGCGATCAAACCAGGGCTCGCTGATCAAGGAGGTGCTGAAGAACTTCACCGTCGAGAAGTTCAATGGTGAGGGCTATGTTGATTGGGTACTATTTGATGTCGCAGAGTTTGGAGCTGAACCAGCGTCACCACGTTGACGTGGACGTGGTCGTGGACGTGGACGTGGACCTGGACGTGGTCGTAGACTTGGACGTGGTCGTGGACGTGGACGTGGATGTGGACATGGACTCGGACGTGGTCGTGGACTTGGTCGTGGACGTGGACGTGGAGGACAGGGACATGGACGTCGACGTGGACGTGGTCATGGACCTGGACCTGAACGTGGACGTGGACGTCGACGTGGACCTGGACGTGGACGAGGACTTGGATGTGGACGTGGACGTGGTGGTAGACGTGGACGTGGAGGATGTGGACGTGGATGTGGACGTGGACGTGGACGTGGATGTGGACCTGGACGTGGACGTGGACGTGGACCTGGACGTGGACGTGGACGTGGACCTGGACCTGGACCTGGACATGGTCGTGGACGTGGATGTGGACGTGGCCGTGGACATGGACGTGGACGTGGTCGTGGACGTAGACGTGGACGTGGACGCGTGGTCGTGGAGGAGGACCTGGACGTGGACATGGACGTGGACGTGGACGTGGACGTGGACTTGGACGTGGACCTGGACGTGGACATGGACGTGGACGTGGACGTGGTCGTGGACGTGGACGTGGACCTGGACGTGGACGTGGACGTGGACTTGGACGTGGACGTGGTCGTTGACGTGGACGTGGTCGTGGACGTGGACGTGGACCTGGACGTGGTCCTGGACGTGGACGTGGACATGGATGAGGACGTGGATGTGGTCCTGGACGTGGACGTGGACCTGAACGTGGACGTGGACGGGGACGTGGACCCCGACGTGGACGTGGACGTGGTCGTGGACGTGGACGGGACGTGGACGTGGATGTGGACGTAGACGTGGACCTGGACGTGGACGTGGACGTGGACGTGGACTTGGACGTGGACGTGGACATGGACGTGGACATGGACGTGGACGTGGAGGACGTGGACATGGACGTGGAGGACGTGGACGTGGACGTGGACATAGACCTGGACCTGAACGTGGACGTGGACGTCGACGTGGACCTGGACGTGGACGTGGACTTGGACGTGGACGTGGACGTGGACGTAGACGTGGACGTGGACGTGGTCGTGGACGTAGTCGTGGACGTGGACGTCGACGTGGTCGTGGACGTGGACGTGAAAATGGACCTGGACGTGGTCGTGGACGTGGACTTGGACGTGGACGTGGACGTGGACTTGGACGTGGACCTGGACACGGTGGGTTGAACACACGGTAGGTTTAACACACGGTGGGTTGAACACACGGTGGGTAGAACACACGGTGGGTTGAACACACGGTGGGTTGAACATACCATGGGTTGAACACACGGTGGGTTTAACACACGGTGGGTTTAACACACGGTGGGTTGACCAAACAATAGGTTTAACACACGGATGTTAAACCCACCGTGTGTTAAACCCACCATGTTGAAGGAGCTGCACGCCCCGACCTCCGTTGTTGCAACGTTGATGCTGTAGAGGGAGCTGTCCGCGTTGCGCCTGAGCGAGGGAGAGCCGGTGCAACCTGTCCTCGACAAGATGCGCGACCTCTACGCGAAATTGGCGACCGCGGGAATCACCTACCTAGAGGAGACCAAGTGCCTGTAGATACTCTTGCTGCTGCCGGAATCGTGGCTTCAATTCACGAGCGGATTGAGCCTGCCGCAGAACCAGAGCTTGTAGACACTCGAGTGGGTGCGGACAAAGATTCTGGAGGAGGACTTTCGTTGCCGCCAACTGAGGGGTGGAGACGACGGCAGCAGCGGCTACAGGATGCAAAGGAGCCGACGTGGCAGAGGACATGGCTTCGAAGGTGCTGGATGCGGTGCAAAAAAGGACGACGACTCCAACGACCAACAAGGAGGTACCGGTTGGGGTCGCGGTGCAAAATCTTGACGTGGGGGCAAGTCGGGTGCTGGTGGCAAAATGAAAAGGAGTTGCTGCTATTGTGAGAAGGAGGGGCACCCCTGATTTTTGTGCTATAAGAAACCCGATAGATGGACCCCCTAAAATCGTCACCAAGATGGCGGCGCGCGGAGGAACCAGAAAAACGGCGCGAGCATGGTCGCCGATTCGTCCAACAACAACCCGAAGAGCAACGGCGGTGCGGAAAAGAAGAAGGAGCGTATCGTTATGAAGGGATAGGAGACACCCATCTCCAGGCCAGGATGTACCCATATGGCTACTAAGAAGCTGACTGCAGGAGGTGATGTAGCGGAGCAGCAGCTTGGGACCGGGGAGGCATTGCTGATTCTACCGCATGGCTATGACCCGGATGAGGAGGATGAGCCTGCGTACTGTTTTCTTGCCCGTGCACCAAAGGAACCAGCTAGCATGGAGGAGGCATTAGCTGGACCAGATAGGGACAAATGGCTGGCTTCTAGGGATGCTGAGTACCAGAGCCTGCTGGAGAATGGGACTTGGGAATTAGTGGTGCTGCCTGAGGGAAAGAAAGCGGTACAATGAAAGTGGGTGCTAAGGATCAAGACTGACGACAAGGGGCAGGTCACCATCTACAAAAGTAGGTTGGTGGCTAAGGGGTTTATGCAAAAGGAGAATCGGGACTTCAATGAGATCTTTGCTCCCACTGCCAAACCCCCTACCCTTCGTGTCTTGTTGGCAGATACAGCCGTTAGTGGGAAGTTCATTATCCAGATGGACATATCCACGGCATTCCTCAACGGAATTTTAGAGGAGGAGGTGTTCATGACGCAGCCGCCTGGGTATGAGGATGGTACGGGCAGGGTGTGCAAGCTGAAAAAGTCCATCTACGGCTTGAAGCAGGCGCCAGGCTGCTGGTACTAGAAGCTGGCAGCTGTTTTAGAGGAGATGGGATTCAGAACCAGCAGCTGTGATGAAAGCCTCATTCTCAAAGGGAAGGGGGAGAAGATGGTGCTGTTTCTTCTCTTTAGCAGCAGCAGCTGATGGAGAACTTCAAGTGCAAGAACCTTGGGGAGGTAAAGTACTACCTCGGGATGCACGTGGAGAGGGATCCAGATCACAGGTGGTTGAAACTGCACCAGGAGAAGTTCATCAAGTAGATGGGGGAGAAGTATGGGATTGAAGATGAGCACAAGGTTGCAACTCCTCTGCCAGCAGAATTCAAGCTTGTAAAGGCTGTAGAGGATGAAGGGGTTGAAGCTGAGGAGCCGCAGCAATTCCAATCCTTGGTGGGCAGCCTCTAAAATGCAGCTGTTCACACGAGGCCTGACATCTCTTTCTCGGTTGGGCAGCTGGCTGTTGGTGTAAGGGCCAAATAAACTCAAGCTATTAAGACTTTATCAAACTTAAACCCTTCGGCTTGCCATCCGCTCCCTTAAACGCAGCTCGTCCCGCACTGGCCACCTTCAACATGTGTCTAGAGGGATAGCACACCTCGTTAATCGATGCAGCGCGTACGTCATCCAGCAGGTCCTTGCGCGGCGTCATTGTCCAAGCAGCGCCTATGTCCAACACCCAATAGTCCAGGGGGTGCAGCTCTGCTCCAACCTTAGCAGATGCGTCTTCTTTGCTCCCCCTTGTCTCCCATATGGAAAAATTGGCCCACGGTGCGCTCCTTCTTCTCCGCACCGCCGTTGCCCTTCGGGTTGTTGTCGGACGAATCAGCGACCATGTTGGCGCAGTATTTCTGGTTCCTCTGCGCGCCGCCATCCTGGTGACGATTCTGGGGGGTCCATCCATTGGGTTTCTTATAGCACAAAAACCAGGGATGCCCCTCTTTCTCACAATACCAGCAACTCCCTTTCATTTTGCCACCAGCACCCGACTTGCCCCCACGTCCAGATTTCGCTCTGCGACCCCAACCGGTACCTCCTTGTTGGTCGTTGGAGTTGTCGTCTTTCTTTGCACCGCGTCTAGCACCATAGAAGCAACGTCCTTTGCCACATCGGCTCGCTTGCATCCCGTAGCCGCTGCTGCTGCTAACTCCACGTTTCAGTTGGAGGCGACGGAAGTCCTCCTCCAGAATCTTCGTCCTCAGCCACTCGAGCGTCCACAAGCTGTGGTTCTACGGCAGGCTCAATGCGCTCGTGAATTGAAGCCATGATTCCGGTAGCAGCGAGAGCATCTTCAGGCACTTGGTCTGCTCCGGGTAGGTGATTCCCGCGATATCCTGCTTCGCGTAGAGATCACGCATCTTGTCCAAGACACGTTGCACCGGCTTTCCCTCGCTCAGGCGCAACGCGGACAGCTCCCTCTCCAGCATCAATGTTTCAACAACGGAGGTCGGGGCGTGCAGCTCCTTCAACACGGTCCACGCCTTCGGACCGCACTCAACCTCCGGCAGCAGGTGCATGACATGGTGACGCTTGTTCAGCTCCAAATTCTGCGACATCAAGTAGTAGCCAGCCGAGGCGCCCTCGTCCCAATCTTCCTGAAGGGCGGGGTCACTCGGTCTAGGCTCCTCCCCAATCATTAGTTTCAGCAAACCGATCTGACGGGAAAAGAGTTGCATTTTCCAGGCCCAATCATCATAGCCCTCACCATTGAACTTCTCGACGGTGAAGTTTTTCAGCACCTCCTTGATCAGCGAGCCCTGGCTTGTTCGCGCTCCCCTTGGTGCAGAAACACCAGAATCTTGGCTGCCGCTACGGTCTTGGGCTGAAGATTCACCAGCTAGGTGTTGCCCGCCATAGCTACCTATATCGAGAATCACTATAACGCAGCTCTAATACCAGCTTGATGGTGTAAGGGCCTAATAAACTCAAGCTATTAAGACTTTATCAAACTTAAAACCTCTCCTCGAGGTCATCTCCAAGGGTCCTTGGGTGCCTAGTACAAGACCAGCCCCTATCCTCGGGTCCGAGTTTATAGAGAGGGATCAAGAGAGACTTAGTCAAAATTGCAAGAGTACCTTGAACGTCGCGTAGCGTATCGTGCAGACCGTCGATCGGATTAAGCTGAGAATTTACTATATCGAAGCTCGCTCCAAGAGCTTTAAAATGAATCAAGTTGCCTTGCGAAAAATCCCGCCATTACGAAGTTATGGCTCGGAAAGCGTTTGCCTAGTGTTGGAGTGCTAGCGTACTAGCGTTGACTCGGATAGCATTACGCCGTTGAACCGCGTAGAAACGAAATTCCAGGAAGGGAGGAATTCGCTTGAATCAAATTGACTATATTCAGGTACAAACAGAGAAGGAATAAATAGTTCTAGCTAGCAAGGACCTTGGGAATCAACCTGGGAACAACCAGAGACGATCCCAAATAATTCCAAGCAACAAAACCAACCTGGCTGGACAAAACAGCAGGTGGAAGGTTGGAAAACAACCTCTGGTTCTGTTTTTCCAACGTGGGAAAACAACAACCAGATTCAGGTTCTAAAAACAGAACCTATTTTGTCTTTGCCCAACCAGCCAAATGCTGGTTCCACTGGTTTCCCCTGGCCTTGTAGCATGCAGATAGAGACAAACAACATCCAACCTTCACCTAAATTGTACCCCTATAGTGCCTGCCCTGCTACACTATAGTTAACCAAACAAAACAGTACAATTACAAGTTGGATAGAACTGAATCTGGGCAATCAATTTGACCGGACTGCAAAGCTTCCATCTTGGGTTCCTTTGTGAGCTCGTCCTTTCTGCTTGCACTGTTCATAGCGCGTATATTGTTCTGCCGAAGCGCACATTGTGCGAGTACCTGCAAATGCTTCAAGAGAAAATTGCGAAAGCAAACAAACACACGAACATACCCTTCACACGCAAATGTATTCGCACACGCATACTCGTACAAACAGATGGCAGGATGTCTTGCAATGTGAATTTATACCCAACAGTAAGTTGGGGGCGAGTGCAATCTGGTGTGTGCATTTGGGGCGGGCTGTTGAGAGCAAGGGATGGCTGCTGTGGGAACCTTCCAACGGTGTGTTATTTGGCAGCAAGGATGTGAAGTTTGTTGAGAGCATGATGTATGGCAGCTGGGAGAAACAGCTGGAGGTCAGGGTGTCTCAGCAGAAAGAGCAGATCACCATGCAGCTGGACCTGACTCCTAGTGTGTGGGAGGAGGCAGAGGAGGCAGCTGCAGAGGGTGGTGCTGGAGACAAGGTCCAAGAGGCACCTGCCGGTGAAAACAATGGTGTGGAAACTAGCGGTAGCACTAGTGGAGGTGCTGGATCCGAGGGAGGAGAGCAGCAGCAGGGAAAAACTAAGAAGCCGAATGGTGTCGTTATGAGGGGATGGGAGACACCCGTCTCCAGGCCAGGACGTACCCGTATGGCTACTAAGAAGCTGACT